GACACCAAAAGGAGGGGCAATTGTTATGTGAAAGCTTCTTCTTTGGTCACAGCAATAGAAAGTGTAAGGTCAACAATTATACTTAACATAAATTCTGAAGAGCAAAACCTAATATTGATTTACATCACCCCCCCCCCCCCCCAATTTATCAATTGTATCAATTTCCAATGATGGCTAGGCCGACCATTGTTGGGGGGAAAAACTGCCCACATTAGTCCACATTTTCTTTGCAATTGGTTACACATCCTTGAACGGGTACAAGCCAGGTAGTTTGGTTCCCTGACCTCTATAAATTGCTCTGTTTCGTGTGAAGTAGGGTCAGGGAACCAGACAACAAGAACAGCATTGTTTTTTCCAGCATCTAGAAAACAAAGTTTAAACAGGTCAGTATAATAATGTTTGCTATAAAATACTAACCCCCAAATTCATCCATATCTGAAAATCACAGCAAAGCAAATGTTGTATATTAACTTAAATGATGAGTTACATGTAAGCAGATATCAGTCTGATTGGAAGTAGAAAATACTGTCACTTGAACAAGAAGACAGAGTAATAATATCCATATTTGGAAATCTAGTACATATAAAATTAATTGAATACCTTGTAGCTGACAAACTTATGATTTTGTGTATGGTGTCAGTTTCACAAAGTTGAATTTTCAGATCCATTTATAAATAGCTGACCTGCTGTGGCAGAGACAACTGGGCTAATTTATGGTAGCAACACGGTAGAAACAGGAAAGGTAGCCTGACAGTCCAAGATGTAAGATTAATGACATTGACCTCGTGGAGTGAAGTACTAATTATTGAAACGACTGCAAAATGCATCTTTGAATATTAATGTTTGTATGGACATGTATAAATGTCTCTTGCATTAAACGCTAACTACTAATATTGATGATGAATGATATTGCTGCTGTTATCACCCAGCAGTATAGAATTATGAAGGAAGGAATCGAGAAAGGAACAAGGAAAGAAACCAATTAGGAAGTTCTTGAAAGTTAATCTCAACAACAATCTTATAATCTGAAGAGCTCTAAGAAAATGAAAGGTGTGTTGACAGACACATATTAAACATTGCACAACAGAGTACCTGTGTGTTAGGAGAAATGTGTCCAGTGACTTTTCCTTTTCTTTGGAACAAAATCGACCCATTTGAATGATTAAACTCCTTCAAAGTGGTTTTTGAAATGGTCGGCACTATATTGTAAATATTCTGAGAAATGTGTCAAACTATGAGGGTTTTTTAACATCAGTTTTCTTTGGGAGAGGAAAGTGTGAATTTTTTTCCCAATGTTATGAAAAATCTCAAGAATGTTTTCATATAAATGTATTCATCTGTCAGTATGTTAAATCTTTGAATCCCGCATACTTGTGTTGTAAACAAGGTAAGAGCACGTGCCACATGTGAGTAACTGATGACAAGAGGATAAGACGTTGTTAGTGGCATGATTGAGAGAGTAAGGAACATAGGAAGGAACAGGGTGGTTTTGTTTTAAGATCCCTAGAGAAAATATCTGTCTTGTAAAGATTAAGAACTCATGTAGTAGCAGCAGTAGGTCACTCTAACGTCTATCATTAGCAGTAGGAATTTAAAGGTGCCATGATGAAAGATTCGTAATGTGTGTCAAATTTGAATCAAGATTTTAAAAGCTCAAAATTTTAAGTCAATGGATTGAAGGATTGACTTTTTTACAAGTTGATCTGTCGCCTCAGGAACTAGTTTGTCAACTTCTAATTCCTCTGTGAGCCAATATCAGCTATCAACCCTGAAACCAAATGTTTGTATATTGTTCTATTTTCCAGGCATTTGGTTGTCCTGGGACTAGTGTTTGTCTCTGAACCGTACCTGGTCAGTTAAGCGTAGTGTGGTTTGTTGCTCCGATGGCATCCACTTGGGATCAGCTTAGATATTCATGGTGTGACACTAGAGGGCGCTATTGCACACTGGTGGAGTTGAATCTCAGGCCTGTGATGTGAAACTGTATTCTGTGTAACGCCTGATAGATGCAAGACAGACCAGTTGGTGGCGCTATTTAATGTGCTTGTCATCAAAGTCTCCTGAATTAATGAAAGGATAAAGTTGACAGAACCCTTAGATTGACTGAAGTTTTGAAACTGAAAATCAGCTACTGTAAAAATGAGTGAATAGTTGATGAATGTTAATGATCTGCTCACTCCTTGCCCACCCATAAGTATAGCTCTAGTAAATTCTTCAGACATAATATCAAGGTTAGAACTCAAATACTTTCATCTCTGAAAGCATTTACAACATGGTATAAATGCAAGTGATCGTTATTGCAAATTCTTGATTCTAAATAAATTTGTTACTTTTATTTATGTACACCGATTCTCTCTGTTTATCCTACAGGTGCAGCCCCAACCTTTGCCAAAGAGCTAAAAGACAAGATCTATGCCCCAGGAGGCCGTGCTACATTATCATGTATAGCATCAGGCTATCCATCACCTCAGCTTACTATGACTAAAGATGGAGTCACATTATCTAAAGGAGCCATTAAAGGAATATCCTACAAGAGTGGCAAAGGGTAAGTATTCCCACCTCAATCCACCCTCCCCCATCCCACAAACAATTAACCCAGCTACGCTAACCCAACAAACAACCCAACAACTTCTACAAACAAACAAACAAAAGACGATAAATTGCCCTTTGAAGTCTTTGGCATCTCAGTCTTGTTTGAAAACTGAAGAGTTATAAACTTGTGAAATGTTTCACTTAAATCCTTCCAAAGATGCATTTTGCTTGTTCTGATGTGGATATTGGTTTGTGTATTTCTCTATGATTCTAGGGGCATTAGATTGAAACTGAAGAAACTACAGAAGACTGTACATGAGGGAGTGTATGCCTGTATAGCTGATAATGGTGTCCATCCTGAGATCATGACAAGTGCTACTATTGGTAAGATTTAGCCAGCATTGATCAAATCAGTCTACCATCTCTCCCCTATTGCCTACACTCTGAAATGACACCTACATTTGTGTACATGTACTTTGTGAGTTTTAGGATGCATTTTAGATGGCGTAAAAGTGGTCACTCAGAGTGACTGACTCGTTAATTTTATTGGCAGTGTTTGTTTTTACTCTTCAAGTTGAGGTAGATTATTTCAGAGCATTCGGATGCTGTTCAGCAGGACATTTAAGCCAAACAAATCTGAAACCACTGTTTCTTTCATTAATCCTTAAGTCACTGCAGCCCCATAAAGGAAAGATGGACAAAATAACCCCCAAAATAACCGAAGCTTTGCTTTTCGTTTTAAATTCCAATATAGCTTGAAACAGACATGTAGTGGTGTCCAACCCCCCTCCCAACTGCTTCGCATTTGCTAAGTTAAAAGCCAATGTTTATGTTAAAACAGCCTCATCAATTTGGTGGTTCTTTGGATATCTGTTCACATCTTCACTTTAGATCATTTTTTACTGAATCTGTTTGTTTAATTGTTTGTTTTGCATTCTTTGTACAGTATAAACTTTTTTCTTCTAGTACAATTACACTACATTTAAGAATACAAGCCATGATTGTTGAATTAAGTGCAATTCACAGACGTGCAAGCTCAAATGACTAAGAATGTCCAAGTGACTTCAGTAGTTGAAAGTGCAGATTTACTTTTGCGGTGTTATTTTCTATGGATGATGTCTTGCAAAATACCACTGCCCAGGTTGAAGGAAAGCTACACATACACGTAATGTTCGCACATTTACAGTGTCTTGGAATTCAAACAAGTATAACTCGAGAGTGATTATTGTGCCAGTGTTTGTGTGCAGACAGGTTGCATGTGGGATATCTCTAAACAAAGTGCTGTTTTTCTGCTAACATGATGTGACAGGGAAGTAGTCATTAGTCAAGCTCTCATCCTTGGAGATGATGAAACACCTCGGTCTCAATGTTTGATTAACAGTCAACGTCTGATCCTACAGTAAACATTTGTCATTACTTGTGATGGGAGGCCATCTAAGATCTATTAAGAGGAGGAGGTTAGAGATGTATGGGAGGGGGTGTGGATTGCAAGACATGGCTCTGTTCAATTGGTTCTTAACGAGGCATGCTTAAACAGTGATGAGGTGTTGAAAATATACTGGCTTCGCTGATATGCAGCACGTAAACATTAATACACAGTGCATGCTGGGAAGACTCCAATCAGTTTTACATCTTTATTTTTGCCAGGAAAAAATATTCTGCAGATTTCTGTTTTTCTTCTAGAACTGCAAATAGGTAGTTCTCAGGACAGCATACGTAATTCCTTTGCATACTAATTGATTAAATAAACCCGCACTGCACTTCATTGAATTTACTGTCCTTGGTTCTGTAAATTTATCTTTACAACACCTGTACTGCATTGTTCCGTTGATAATATTTGTCAATATTGGTCAGTATAACCCACACACATACATGTACAGGTCACTTACGCTGTCCATCCCAGATGCAACGGGCAAATGGAACAGACCATCAGTCAGTTTGTATTTTCATGCCATCATGTCGTACCTTGTCTGTTTGCATAATTTCATTACTTCTGTATCATATTTTGTGGTGTCAGTGATCTTGCCGAGCTACATGTACATGTATATTTAGGATAGCTGGGGGGGGGGGGGGGTTTGAAGGTTGCAACATTCAGTGTGGGTGGGATGGTTCATTCAGTTGAAGTGACGAAGACGACTTGACATTATGGATGGAATGGTTGTCATTCTTGAGATGTTTGCAATGATGCAGGAGGAGGTGAAGAGATAATATGTTGAAGACAGGAAGCATCAGGGAATTGTGGCATTTTAATGTGATAGTTGGTTCCTCCTGCAAGAAAAGAGAAATCCTCAAATGCACCTTCTCTGTTATAAAGGGGTTGGATTTATTGCAACCTTTTTGAAAATATTAAAACCATGAAAACCACAAGGAAAACTTGTTGAGATAATGTAACATATACATAGTGAGGTTTGTAAAAAAAAATGTCATGGTTTCATGGTTAAATAGTTTCATAAAATACACACATGTACATGTAGGCAGTGAGCTGATGGATTTCCTAGAATGTTTCAGATCTGCTGTGGACGTGCAGGAGTATTTTTTGTCCATGGAGGATGACGTAAGACATATATCTCCAGATGCTGATAAGCATTGCATTCCAACAATATCAGTCCTCTGAATAGTTGGGATTTAGTGGCTTGATAGCCTGATGATACAAGTGCAGCATCTGCAGCAGGTACATGCATGTATATTACAAACCCCACAGCTCTGGTTCTATTTCTCATTAATACTGAGTAGCCTGGGAGGCAATACGTGTCTTTAATCCCAGCCTGTACATGCACCTGATCCCAATCTATATTGTATGGAGGCCAGGCTATGCATCCATACTGAAACCAATATTGCCTGCATCCCTGACTGATCCATTGTGGTGCTTCTGAGAGGCTGGCTCCAGTCTTTTCTCCTAGTATTACCCAATATGCGTGTGCCTGGGCCGGTCTACAAACATCAGCGTTTAATATATTGCAAGGCAAATATATGGTTGTGAGTTGATGGGAGCTGTACCGGCAGAGCCTGGAGATTAAAAAACTCATCAGCCAATCAGGTGAGAGCTGGGAGAGTCGGCACTGGGGCCTGTGTGTCACCGACTGGCGCTATTATGAGTTCGCTACGGCCGATGGTGGAAAGGTGCTTATAAAGAGTGCTTTGAAGCTAGAAATAATATGCCCACATCAATTGCAAGATTAGAACTTGGATGGTGAGGTTACCATTTTGCTTAGATTTTCTGGACTGCATTTTTGAGTTTCAGTTTGCAAACTATATCTGTACAGGAAACATTGACCCTGGATTCATTGTTGTGAAGCACTGATCCATAGCCCTTCACATTAAGCAACGTCTACTGGCTGCTCACAGTGGCCAGGTTTTACACCTGCACACAGTGGCTAGGTTTTACACCGGGAGGTGGTATTACTATATCAGTGCTACATGTGGTTTTTTTTAACTGATTGAGATGCGTTCCAGTGCAGGACTATAGATACATGTACACAAGCTGTTAAAAAGAAGAGCTTTGAAGGACTGATGACCTGTTAGTACACAGTTTGCTTATTTCACGCTGAACTTGGACAACTTGTAGATAGCATCTTATTAGAGGTGATCAGCCGCTTCATGATAGCAGAACATGGACATTGAGCCGTAGACCGTGATATGAAGAGACCTGGTGGGGCTGGCATTATTGTAGATGTACCAGGTACACAGTTGATGACCTGGTAGTACTTTGTACCCACTAAACGACAACACGCTTTGGGTCTGGGTGTGTAATCACCTGACTGTTAATGAGTGCCAGGCCGATAGGGAGGACAGGCAGATACGACTGGATGAGTTGGCGGCTGAGTCCATACACTTACACCAAGGTTGGAATGAAGTAGTGTCTACCACAAACACTTAAGTCGTCTTCAGACAGAGAGAACAATTGCTGTCATTTGGTGGTTTGTACAATTTGTGGTTTGAGGAGAGGTCTGCTGCTTTCACAGAGACTCGCTGTCAGAGAATTGTAGTTGGATTTGGATCAACAAACGATCTTTTGCAGTGGTGATAAGTAACTCTGAAACTTCACTGCTTGTCAAATTCCATATTCTGTGTTATTTGCCAAGGAAGTGTGTCATACAAACTTAAAATGGGAAAGTACTACAACATCAAGAGTGAAGAAGGGATCGCCATTGAGCAACCCAAGAAGACAATATTTGATATTGTCTTCTCTTACATCTTCAAAACTGTCATCGTTGTCTTCATTGTGATAGGTTTCATCTTTATCATTGTAACGGCAAGTACTGATTGGACGGTTAACGTGGTGGGTGGAAACAAAGGTAGGATTCAGTGTACATGTATTTAAATATATATTTAAAAAAACAAAAAGGGAAACAGACATCTTTGAGAGCAATGTTTTGCTTTTAAGGAAATATTTTTTTTAACAAGATTATGAGTATGAAGTGTGTTTTTAAAGAATTCATTGCAGATATATCTCAACCTGTCATCATTAATGATGTTTTGGAATGAAAGAATGAATTCTTCACTGGACTAATATTTCAAATATGTTCATTCCGAAAAAAAAAATGTGATGGTATTCAGACATGAAAAGCAGACGCATGAAATAGCAGAGGAATTTTCGTCACAGCTCAAGAGCGTTTTCACACGGTACAAGTTGAAAGCTTTTGTGGTGCATGAAAATGAAAGTTTTATTTCCTTCACACCCAGGGGGCATGAAGGAAAGAAATGCAAACAAAGTTACTTACAAAGGGTTATTGTTGAATTGCACTTTCATGGTATGATGGAAGCAACAGTGTAGTAACAGTACATGTATGTCTGTATAGTCCAAACATATACCAGGCAAATCTTTCAGTCTGAGCTAATTTCGTTGTATAAGCAAAACTAAATGGATTCCCCTGTGTCTTTTTCAAATCAGTCACATTTAAGACCACTACCAATCTTCACTATAATCAGACCACACAACCACTTTTATGGGCCAAAAAAAGTACCTAAAAAACTTGACCTGCATGGATATGGGGACTACTGGAGTCCTTGGAGGGAAGTTACTCAGAGAGACTCCCAACCACCCACTAGTTCTATCAACTCAGGCCCAGCAGAAATGTACATTTGTTGCAACACAAAAAAAATAACCCTGAAATCCCACTTGGAAAGAATCTATAAGCAGCAGATGTTACATCTTAAAAATTGCCCTAGTTGATAAATTAGTGTTGAGAAATGAAATGGGCCAATGAGGTATTGCATTTTTTTTTCAAGTTTGTTTTTTTGTTATATATTTTTTTGGTTAAACGGAGGGATGATGACAGAAAAACAAACATAATGAAGACAGAAAAACAAACAAAATGTTCAATTTTGGGGATGCTAACACGTGATTTACATTTGGTATCCCAACAGACTCAGTCAAAATGAAAATCACACCTTTCATTCTGTAATAGATAACACAATCTTTGCCGTGATTTTAGAACTGAAACTCCACTGAATAGTCCTACATTGAAATTCATAGCCATGTTCTGTTAAGCAGTCACATGTCCTGATATGAGATCACTAATAGACTATCATAAAATTATTATTGAAATACTACAGCTATACCTACAACGACAGTAGCTACAGTGAAACATGTGAAATCTATGAATCAAAGAATTACAAAAAAATGATTGGTGTCACTGACATTTCTTAAAACCCCACTAACATGTATACTTCCCATAGTAGCATTGGAGGAAATACCAACACCCACACCCATTCAAGATATTCTTATCTTGTTATTGCTTAGATTGCGTAATTAATATTCAGTGAATGATATTCAGTAATGTCCGTAGAATCAAATACCAAATCTGAATTCCTATCATTCCATTTTATTGCATATGGTTATCCACTTGTTTCTGTCAGTTTCAAGGTTCTTGGATTAGTTTGAAAAGTTGGATTTACGTCTGATCAGTTTGCCAGACAATATAAAAATAGATTCCGACCATGTCACCCTACAAAGCCGAAGAAATGTTGATTATTATCCCAAACTTGAAAAAGCAATTATCCATGCATTAAATTCCAGTCCCAAAAGCTTTTTCTTTTTCTGTTAATTCCCCCCTCCAGTTTTGATGATACTTTTCATTAAAAAACAAATTTTAATCAGCGTAACATTCTCTTTTGTACAAGTACCTTTACCTATGTGTTCAGAACATAGAGCTATATTAAATTACTAGAGCGCTAACTCGATGTACAAAGTAATGCCTGATGGGCGCATCCATGTTTGTGCACAAACCTATGGAAAACTCGAAATTTTGTACGGCTTTTGTACGGCTATTTGCATATCTGCATTTGTATTCCATACCGGTGCGTCATCAAAGCCGATAGGCCCAAAACCAAAACGCACGATCAGCAAATGAGCATTTCATTTTGCTCTACGCAAACAGCGCAACGCATGTGCGTCTCTCCGCTGCGTGCACAGATGCTTTTCGCCGTGACGTTTTTTTTAACCGTCATGACGCGCTTAAGTTGTTTGCGTACCATCATCTACTTGCGCATTGCATTTAGAGTACATTTTTAAAATTCAATCCATCTATTTTGATTGTGTTCTACAAACACACACATAAATTCAAAATGTCTGCACCCAGAGCGGCTTCAAAGCGTCTCCACGCACAAGAATGAGGAGTTAGCGCTCTAGTAATTTAATATAGCTCTATGGTTCAGAAAGACTTGTTCACTATGTCATGTACAGTATGTCTTCACATTCTGAAATTTCCACTGATGTGTCTTAAATTGATGAGGATATCCTTCAAAAGTCTTCAGATAATCTTGAAGTTTGGAACCTTTATAAATGTGTCATCATTTTTTAAAGGTTGATTTCTTGAAGTATCTTGATGGATTATTAGAGAGCACCTTTTAAATCTTCATTATATGATGGCAGGCTTTTTTGGTAACCTATGAAATTAAATTGCAAATGCAAATTGAGCAATATGACAAGCCCTCTGTGACCTGTTCATATGCCACACATGCACATCTGGGTTTGGATGTCAGTCAGCTTCTTGGGAGGAAATGGCTTGTTCATGTGGAATGTTGTGCATCAAGTCTTGAAGTGTGATTGAATTTAGTACTGGTCGCTTGTGAATGATGTATGCTGCTGTTAGTGCAACTACCGGTACTCTCTTATCATGACACATTAGTAAAACCTCAACAATGTACTGTCACAGCAGTGCTTGGGCCTATCGTGGTAATTTCTCATGATGCACTGCATTTTCAAGTATAATAGTTGTTGTTGAGTATATATTCACCTGCACACATTTTTGAAAGTGTAGTTTCTTGAAATGAACATGCATCAATATGAACATGTTGAGGACCACGCTCCTGAATTGAGAGATCATTTATCTTGTTTTGTATTTATTATAACACTTTTGTGGAGCACTGGATTTTGTAAACTGTGAATTACTGTGGAAAGGTTGTTTGTCTCTCCACTTTACCTCCTGCCATTTGATATCAAATCAATCCATATTACTTCTGGTTTTGAATTTAATCTGCAGCACTTGGCATAACCATGGCATAACGCAATCATTCTCACATTATGGAATCCATTTTCTCATCTTCATCCAGCCAGTGTGGGCTCTTCGATCTCAGGCTGCCGATTATATTGGATGTTTTCATAGTGCGTGATGCTGCACTTTTACATAGCGGTTCCTGGCCTGTGCAGTAGGCAGACAGATCATGTAGAAACATTTATTTGCCAATGCCAATAATGAAGTCTTTGCGCTGAGATGGTTGCCTAGAAAAGCGAGCAATATGAGGAACTGCCAAGGGGTATGATCCACAATTGACTAGTACCTCTGCTTTATGCTCCATATACCCTGATCTAGATCACAGATAGTCAAGACTGATTGCTTGCAAAGGGGGACCTTTTTCAGTTATAACTTTAAAAAGCCAGTCAAGTTGTTTGAATTGTGGACTGATAAGTATTCAATTTCACTATAAACTCCTGCTGGTTATTTTCTTTTGAAAGTTAGTGAAGAAAGGACCCCCCTATCATAACCAACATGCACGATTTGGCAAAGTTTTGTGTTGGGTTACGTGTGGTTCATGTAGAAATCAGTGACAACTCCTTGTATTTGATGTATACACGTATTGTACATGTAGGGTAAGGAAACAAGTACAAACGTAATTGCCACATAGTTGTAGCTATGGGCAGTGGTGAACATTGGACTTTTGGGGGACTAAAAAGAAACATTATAATCAGGGAGCTGGACCATGCTATTCAATTTGCCTTGATGAAGGCAAAGTGCAGTATGCATAGTTGCCCATTAATCAACCAAAATGAAATATCGTGGTAGTCTTACAAAAAAAGTAAAGCAACTGTGCCAAATTAATTTTGTAGGCTTCAGAGCAAACATCTGCTTGCCTAGCAGGGGGCTGCTCCGGATAGCTTTTGGAGAAGTTTAAATTAGTTGTCATCGACTATTTTGGCCTCACACATGTCTTGCTCCATCAGAACTACAATGCATGTTCGTATTGAAGCTTGTGGTAAATTATGCATATATTGGATTTATGCTTGTTCTGTTTTCACTTGTTAGTTCCATTAAAAAAAAATGCAAGCATCATGGAAAGTCACAGAATAACACACCCATTTTGGTAAGACTTGAATCAAATTTTTACAAGTAGATTTTTTTTGGGGGGGGGGGGTTTCCATAAATGCACTTGCCTTCAGAATTGAGAACCAAAGCGAATATCTCTAAGTCAACAACTCAGTGATCTATCACAGTAACTCAACTCTCACTATCTAGTGCACAGCTCGAAAGAATATAAAAAGGAAGCAGAAGATTTGAAAGGGGCAGGCTATGTCATAGCTCAGAAAGTTTTCTTGTAAATTTGTTGGAGAAATCAAATTACACTCTTCATTTGCTGTTGGTTTTCATTTTCTTTTTTTAGTAATAGCTTCTTTTTTGTGGATATTATAAATGTTGCTTACCTTTAAGAAATATGTTTTTTCTGGAGTGGTTTGTCATTAATACTGCAGTTCAGGTATCATGTATCTCAGACTCATTAAGCTGGCTGGCCGCCATAGAAAATCAATCTTAGTGGTTTGGAGCAAGGACCTAGACAGAAATGGAGATTTACACTCGAGAAGAAAATCAATGAGCCAGAGGATTGGCTTTGAAGAGCCTTGCCGTAGATCAGAAGGAATGATTAGAAACGTGTACTTGTACAAATACATGCTACAGATTGAATCATTTCAGAGAACAGAAATTGATGTACTACAAAGGTTTGATTTGATCAAACTAAATATTTAGAGCATAAAATTAAGCAAGACATATTAGATAATGGCAAAACAAAATTCCCGAAA